TTATCGTAACCCCTTTAAGGTAAATTATAGGGGATCCTACCATTAATCCATGTTCCAACTTTCTGGAGTTCCCCTAAAGGAAGCTAGGGACCCTATCCCAGACCCCGGGGAGGATCTAGAAAGTAGATCCCCTAATTTGGCGAAATATACTACTAAGGGTATTATTTTAGGAACCCAGTTTCGGCTTTGGGGGTTTGGGGTTTAGGAGTTTAAGGTTCAGGGTGCAGGGTTTAGAGCGACCGTTTGGTTTCAGAGGTCCCCAAACAGGAACCCTCCAGCACCCTAAACCCTAAACCCCGAGACCCTAAAACCCTATACCCTTTAAAGGAATCCTAGAGCACCCTATCACGGGCTCCTTTAAAAGGCTTCCTAGAACTCTAATATAGGGGGCCTTAAGAATTAGAATAGGGCTCCTTTAAAGGGTTCCTATAAGGGGGGACTACGTACAGGGATCTATAGTAAGTTTTCCTCATATCAGGGAAGCTTCTTTTTTAGTGTCGGGTTTATGGTCTTCGGGTTGAGGACTTTACGATTTGCGGTTTGGGTTTGGGGTTTCGGCTTTACTGTCTAAGGGTTCGGGACTTAAGGATTTGAGGTTAGGGTTTCCAGGTTGCTGGCTTAGGGTTAAAGGCTAGCCCTAGAAATAGATAGGTTGAGGTGGACTTCTAGACCGAAGAGTAACCTAGGCATAAAAGGAGTGCCCCTTTTGGTTTAATCGGGTGTTTTAAGGGAGCCTAAACCCTAAAACGGGAATAAGGGCCTACTCTGGGTCCTGGACAAAAAACTAGTATTGAGGCCCCTAATATGAAGCCCTACTGTAGATCCCTTATGGAGCCCCTTATAGGAGGTTATAGTAACCCTTTCAAGGAGCCCTGGGGTTCAGATAGACTTCGCTGGAGCCGGGCTGAGCCGAGGGCGGATGCGATCCGTAAGGCGAAAGGCTGCCCCAAAGAGGGCAATGTCGAAGGGGACGCCTGCCTGGGTTTAGGGCTTTAGGCTTTAGGCTTTAGGGTTTAGGGATACAGGGCCTTTGTACTCCTTTAAAGGGATCTATAGGGGCTCCTCTAAAGGGGTCAAAAAGGGTTACTCTAAAGGATCTATAAGGGTACCCTTAACCCCCAAATGTCCAAAGGACTCAACAAGGTACTTTGGGATTAGGATACTAGTTATGTAGGTTAGGATTTTGGAGAGTATATGATGATTGGGTACTTGGACCCCGGGGGTGGGGTTTCGGGGTTTGGGGCTTCGGGATCGGGGTTTCGGGCTTTGGGGCTTAAGGGTTCTGGGATTTAGGGTTAAGGCTTTAGGGTATAAGGATGTCGGGCTTTAGGGTTTAGGGTTATGGGTAGTTCTCGAAGTCTGGTCCGGTTTAGGGCTTTACCAGGGTTTAGGGGCTTAGCGGCCGTGCTATTTTGGGGCACCGAAAACGGGACCCTGATTTAGAGAACCAAACGTATAAGTATAGAGGTCTGAGAAAGCACTGAAACCCTAAACCCTAAACCCGTAAACCCCTAAACCCTCAACCCTAAGCCCCTAAACCCGAAACCCCTAAACCCTAAACCCCCCAAACCCCTGAGCAATAAACAAGGAGCCGCGAGGAACAGTTCTAGCAATTTTTCAAGCAAGGAACCCTGAGGAATCGGATGAGCAACTCTTCAGGCTTCTCTACTAAGGGTCCAGGGCCTTGAAGGCTTCTAGGTGTTAGGGCTTAGGGTAGTATATACGGTTTCGGGTGTAGGTGTTGGTGTATGTGCAGTTGTGTAGCTGAGAGGAACTACCGACAGGAACGACCGGACGGGCGTAGCAAGAATCCTCAGAAAGCCTTTGCAGAGCCGTAAGATCCCAAACCCCAAAAGAAGCTTAAACCCTAAACCCTAAACCCGCAAAAAAAAACTGAACCCTAAACCCTAAAAACCTGAAAAGAAGCCTAAACCCCAAACCCCCAAAAGGAAGCCAAAACACCTAACCCTGCTCTGGCTTATGCCTCCTCCGTCGCAGCAGCAGCTCTCACCCCAAAGTCAAAACTCTGATTCCTAAGCCCAAAATGCCAAATACAGGGGGGCCTCCACACTCCTTTAAAGGGATCTATAGGGGCTCCTTTCAAGGGGTCTATAAGGGTGGGATATATAAGAATACTATAATATAGGGGCCTTAATAATGAGAATAGGGTCTTGGGGCCCACTATGCTATACTCATGTTAAGGAACCCCGTCAATAGTATAGGTATTTACTAAACGCAAGAGTAAACTAGGAATAAAAACGGTGCCCTTTTTGGTTCCGGGGGGCTTCTACTGCAGGTCCTAGTTTATTCAGGCCCCGGTAATTCCCACAGTGTAGGGTCCTTAAGGTAATGCAGGATTTATATAGACCATCAACAGTAATATAGGTATTTATGAAAGCCCCTACATTGCACTCAAAAGGCCTGGACCCTCTTAGCCTGGGGCTTAGAGTCTGGGAGTCTCCCTTCTCGAAAAACCAGGCCGCAAAAACTTCGAAGTTCTTAAGACGGGTGGTTGTCAAAATCGGGGTCCCTTTTTGGGTCCCTATTATAGTACGGCACCTTTTTTGGGGGGGGTACCCGAAAAGGGACCATAATTTTGAAAACCACCCAGATAGATCCAAACATAAGGCAGCAAATTCAACGTGCGCTGAAGCGATCCTACCAGCCGGTCAAAGAGCAACAAAACAACCCTCCAAACCACGAAATCGCTATGTAAGGGTTCGGGGTTCTTCGTGTCATAGGAGGAATCCCTGGTGAGGTATCCGGCATCTGGCATGTCATAGAATTCGAGAAGATCGAGTGGATTAATCCACCTTGAATCTGCTGGAGGCCAGTGCGTCGTGGTCGTCGTGCGTCGTGGTCGTCGACACAAACCATCCGAGGATTTCACTAGCCCAAGAGGGTTGTGAAATCACAACTTGTAGAGCGGAAGGTCGCAAAAGGTTGAGAGCGTGCTCCATGCAAGGTACGAAGTTGCGCGTAGCAAATCGCGGCACAATAGTAACGCCAAGTCTTTGAATCCATGGCGCATGCAATGCAGCGAAGTAGATATCGGCATCGGTTGTGCGTGACAAATCAAACGATGCGAAGACATTGATAGCTCGCGGTTGTGAGGTTCGAATCCGCATAGTTGTTCCCAGAGCCTCCAATATCCCTTAATTCAGGAATATGCCTTACTTATAGTAGGATCCCCTCATATGTTTTAAAGTACAGTCCTCAGTTATGGGTTCAATCCAAAGCCAAGCAATCGACCGACAAGTCTCGCCCCCCAGATCTTCCACAGTCCTTTAATTAAGGAACCCCGGAGACTTGAATGTCCCTTAATTGAGGAATATATCTTAAATCATATAAGGGATCCTACTATAATTTTAAGGTATATTCCTTAATCACGGGGTATTGGAGTCTCTGGGAACTAGGTTCCTGAGTAGCCCCTTTGTAACAAGGGTGCCCTTTTTCCTACTATTCTGTTTTAATCCAGGGACCTAAAACAAAAAGGGCATAAGGGTACTAATTACTCAGGAACCTAGGGAATAGACCTGCAGTCATACCAGGGATCCTACGGCATTTTGTGAACTAGGGATACTGGAAGATCTGGGCTCTGGCAAAGATCTTGGGATCTGACCAGAGCGTAGGTGGTGCTTCCGACGTTTGGCCCCACCACGTGCTGAGCAGGGAGGCGCACACTTTGCCATTGGTTCTACCAGAATGGCTTTAAATTTCAAGCTTTAGGAATGCGGGTTCAGGTCCTTGCCACTGAGTAGTACACTTTCTGCTGATCTCACCATTCAGAGAGATATCTCTAGCTACAGCAAAGCCAGAGAAGGCCACTAGGAAGGGCTGTGCGCACCCTGCCTAATCCGTGGTTCATTCACCCTAAACCCTCTACATCCCTACACCTTAAACCCTAGAATTTATACCCAAAGCCCTGAACCCCAAAAGAAGACTCCACCCTCTAAACCGCTAGACCCTAACCCCAGACCCTGAACGCTCGACCTTAACCCTAAGGCTCTAAGGACTTATATTTTAAGGCTTTTAGGCCTGCAGACCATATTATAGAAGGCTTTTGGGCCATTTTGAGCCCTAGGGTAAGCGCCGAGTACCACAAGGCTACGCCTGTGACCTTCGGCCGGCTGTGGTTGCTTGGCCCTGCAATTTCCTTCTTCTTCTGGGACTTAATAATTCGACCACGCCTTCGAATTATATAATATTGTAATTATTCCAATATGGAGCCCCGAAACGGTATTGGTAATCCCCAAAGGTCCAAGTATCTGATAAGCATATACTCTCAAAAATCCTGACCTACATAGGTACTATCCTAAAACCGAGTACCTAATTATTGGGTCCTTTGGACCCTTGGCGCTTCTTCTGTCATCGCAACGAGTCATTAGCGGAAGAGTTGTTTAATCTTTTGTTGTTAAAGACCTTTTGCTTTTTGACGCCTCTTTGTTAAACCAAACAGTGGCGGCAATCGTTAGAATAAGGTGCTGCGGCAAAGTTGACGACAAATACAAGCAGGCTTCTAGTAGTGTTGCCATTACTACTGCGATTAGCATTGCTACTAGTAACAGTACTATAACTCTTCTAATTATTGTTGCCAACATTTTTGTTGTTGTTATTCATTACTATCGTATTCGTGGTTATTACGAACAAAACCATTACTGTGATTGCTATATTTGTTGCGCTGTTGTCGGCAGTCTTCCTAGAAAAACCCAGAATGCAGTACGGTTGATAACATAAATCTATTAATGACGCTAGACTATAGGAACTATGGTATTTTCCTTACTATGGGGTAATTAGTGCAGGATTTACATCCCTCAACCCTAAACCCTCCCTTAAAGGAACCCCTTCAAGGTATCCTTACAGATCCCTGTAAAGGAAGGATTTATATCATCAACCGCAGGACTCTCTACAGAACCCTTTAAAGGAAACTCTTAAAGGTACCCTTATAGATCCCTTTAAACGGAACCCTAGGATTTATATCCCTAAACCGTAGTAGACGCTCAGGCGGAGGCCAGCCGCCCGGCTTTAAACTCGTAGTCTTCGGTGACGTCGCACTGCTTGCCGACCTCGTCATCAAGGGATGGTAGGTGATTGTGGGGTAAACCCAGCCATCTACAGCCAAGAATGCTAAAAAGTTTTATTCGTAGTGTTTGCTTCCATCTTCATACTTCTCTATCCGGCTTCGGCGGTTGTCATTTTTTCATCAACAAACTAACTGCATGCTTCGGATCTAGGTGGCTTTAGGGTTCTGCGGTTTTAGGGTTTAGGCTTCGGGCTTCAAGGTTTAGGATTTAGGGTTGAGGGCTGCGTCGGAATGCATCCTGAAGGCTCTATAGGTTTCAGGGTTTAGGCGGCAGTCGTCAACAAAGATGATGAGCTCCGGCAAGTTCAGACTCTCAGGCCAACCCATCAAGTCCCCCGAGCCCGCATATGAGCTCCGGATTTGGGGGTGAGGCATTTAGGGTTTAGGGTTTAGGGATCAAAGCCTTATAAGCCCTAAATCCGACAAGCCCGGAGAGTGCTTACCGAGGGCCACTCGTTGCCGATGCAGTAGCAAACGATGAACCTCCGACTTCGGGTTGGAGGGTTCTTGCGTAGGAGCTACCTGGACCCTAAAGAGCCTAGAGTTTTAGGGTTCCCTATGATTTCTTATTAATTAACAATCCTTAGACAGGTAGGTTAATTCAGGGTCCAGGTGGGGGTCTTAAGGAGGGTCTTAGGGTCTAAGGTTTCTCTGTAGGGTTTGCGAGGGTTGCATTCTATCTGTTACTTGTTTCATGGTTCCTCTGTGGTTCTTTTTGCGGGTCCCTTTTTGGCTTGTTTGACAGTCTCCTTGACGCGATCTTTAGGGTTGTGCAAGTCAGCTGGCTTTCGGGTTGAAAACTTAGCCCATACCTGACCAAGGCTCAACCCACTCCGCTCTCTGGAAACTCCTCCCCTATACCCCTAAGAAAAGGAACATACCGCAGATTATATGCGCCTTAGCTTTGTAGGGCTCCGCAGTATGCTTTCCTAATACAAGTCTTTAGCACATTGCATTATTCAGGGTGCAGGTACCCAGAGACTCCAATATCCCTTCATTAATTAGATAAGGAATTCTACTATAATTTAAGGTATATTCCTTAATTAAGGGATTCATTGGAGTCTCTGGGTATACCTTAAGGCGAAGTGGGCTCTCTGCGTTGTCTGCACATCATCCTTTCATGGCGTCCAACTTGAGAGTGCAATGCTTAGGGTTTAGGGTCTAGCGTTGCTTAGGGTTTAGGGTTAAGGGTGTGGGGCCGGGTCTAGGGTTTAAGGTCCAGGGTTTAGGGTTTATGGTTCAGGGTTTAGGGTCTAGGGTTCAGGGTCTAGGGTTCAGGGTTTGGAATCTTGAGAGTGCAATGTTTTGGATTTCGGGTTGGTTAGGGTAAACCCTGAATCCAAAGCAACAGCCAGTGGAAGGCTTGGCACCAAGAATAGAGTTCGGCGTGGGGTGTAGGTTTATGGAGTTTGAGGGCTTTTAAAGATGTCTGTGTGTTTAAGTTGCCCTCTAAGCCCTAAACCCTAAACCGAAGTTGCCTTGCTAGTTTCAGGCTTTTGGCTTTGAGGGCCTCAGCGTGAAGCCCGGCAGAGTAAAGCAGCCCGAAGTCAGAAATCCTACTTGGAGGCCCAGGGGGCTTAGTAAGTAGGTTATAAGCAGGGTTATACATGGGGTAACTCCATTTAGGGTACTTATAACCCTACATATACTTACTAGGTCCCCTGGGCCTCTAAGTAGAAAGCTGGAACATGGGTTTAGGGTCTCGGGTTTATGGATTTAGGAGCGATTAGCGTGGAGACTCCCTATACTTTAACCCATAGGCCCCAAAGTAGTTCCTTTTTGGGATTACCTTATAGGATTCTAAATATGAACCCCAAAAAGGAACTAGTTCGGGGCCTTAGGATAGTGATGTGAGCCAAAAGAAACCGGCTTTCACGGCAAAGGGGAGGGTGCGGGGCAAGTTGTCCCTGGACTCGGGTATTATAGGGGCATTAAGAATACCAAACTCTTCCGGGGGGTTCCTTATTACGATTATGGTTATGATATACCCCAAAAGCCCAATTTGTAAAGGCGCCTATATCGGTTCTAAGATCCCTCCCAGAGGGTGTTTAGTGTTGAGGGATCACTGAGGCCCCTAAACCCAAAGCGCCATACACGTTTTATGCGGCGTGCACGCCATACACTTCAGCCCCAAAAACTCAGAAAAATTCCCCCCAGCCCGAAGCCAACTTCCTAAACCCTTAATGAAATTGAAGCCTCAAACTCCTGAACCGCTATGTGGTGGTCTGTCCGGCGGCTGTGGAGTCTAAACCCCTGAACCTTAAACCCCTTTTCAGCCCTGAGCCTTATAAGCCAGAGGGTCCAAGTACCCAAATGGTAGGGTTTTAGATCCCAAAATCCATACTCCTTATGGTTTTTGGACCTTGAAACCCTACTATTTGGGTACTTGGACCCTTAGGGTAAGCCCCATGCCCTAAACCCGTGAAACTCTGGGCCCTAAACAAGACACTGAGTGCCCCGCTGCCCGACGATCGGCATCGTCAGCTTTCCCAGCTCAAATTCCCTGGCCGAGGCCGGCAGGGTTTAGGGCGTAAGGGTTTTAGGGTTTCGGGTTCTGGAATACCTGAACGTACCAAAACATACTTTTTTGTAGGGTCCCTATACATTCCACACTAGGGTTTACAATAAGAGCCGGCGAAAAAGATAGGGTTTGGTAGTTTAAGGTAAGGGCTCCTTCTCCTAAACCCTAAACCCTAAACCCCTAAACCCTAAACCCTAAACCCTGAACCCGGGGATCTCTCGATCTCACGTCCCTTCAAGGGTTCCGAGTTCCTATGCGTTCATGGAAAGACTCTACAGGTTTTCTCTGCGTCTATATGGGTAGTTGTCAAAACTAAGGTCCCTTTTTGGGTATCCTAAATAATAGGTGCCGTCTTATGATAGGGACCCAAAAAGGGACCCTAATTTTGACAACCACCCATATGGGCGTTGCAGCTTCGGCTCTGAGAGCTTTCTTTAGTGACTTTAGTGATTAGGGTGTAGTTTGGTGTTCAGGGTATTTACAGTAGAAGCCTAAAAGTTGGAAACCCCATAGCCTCAATCCTTAAGAGCCATGTATAGGGAATCCCAGCACTATTTGGCCTTTATCCGGTTTCCAACTTTAGGGGGTTTACTGTAAGCTTCAGGACTTTAGGGTTTGGAGCTTACGATTCAAGGCTTTGGGCCTAGGTTCAGGAGTTTAATTTCTGGGGCGGAGGGCTCCAGGTGTTCAAACTTAGGGCGCCACTTCACATCCACAACTCTGCGCATCAAGTTCTCAAGAGAAGACCAAGAAGAAGATAACCCTAAGGCTCTAAGGACTCATATATTAAGGCTTTTGGGCCCAAAGACCATACTATATAAGGCTTTTGGGCCATTTTGAGCCTTAGGGTAAATGCTCAGAAACATACCTGGGACGATCCGAGTGCCAAGGTGAGTTTCCAAAAATTCAGGATACCTTATTTGAGGGTCCTTATAATAGGGGTCCTACTATGTAGGGCGCTAAATATTAGGGTCCCCTATTATCGGAAACTCCCCCATCTCTTGGAAGCACATCCAAACACTACCAACACTCTCATGTCCCCTGCCCAGCCAGAAACCCTGAACCATAAAACCCGCAACCCTAAACCATGGCCAAGGGAACCCTACTGGCAAGCTATCACATCACCAAACACCTACTACGTCGACTACAACTGCTGCCAGCCGGACCCACAGCGAGCACGGCGGCGATTACGAACGACGACTTCCTCCCTAAATCCTAAACTCGAAAGCCCTAAACCCCTGAACCCTAAAACCTCTAAATCTTCCCAAACCCTCACCCCCTAAACCCTCGAAGCCCTATCCAAAACCTAAACCCCTAAACCACTCAAGCTGTAAAGCCCTAAACCCTAAACCCCCGTGAAGGCCCAGAAGCCCTAAACGCCTAAAACCCTAAATGCCATACACCTTAAACCCCAAACCCCTCACTGGACCCTCAAGAAACTAGAACCCGAGAGCCCTAAGGCACCAAAACCCTAAAGCCCCAGAAACCTAGAACTCCAAAAACCCTAAAGACGAAAGATCCCTATACCCTTCCACCCCAAATCAAATCCCAAACCCTAAGGCAGAACCCGTAAACTATGGACCCTGAAACTCTGAACCCCCCAACCCCTAAAGGCACCAGAATCCGCCCAGAATCCCTATACCCCAAAGGCCCCACATCCCCACTGCCCTTAAACTCTCAACCTCCTCAGAGATCCCGCATAGCAACCCCGAAGAGATCCCTTATAGGATCCATTCAAAGGAACCCCACACTCAAAACCCTAACCCCCAAACCCTAAATCCTAAGCCTCTGAAGCCCTAAACCCTCATAACCTCATAGGATCCCCTAAACCCTTATAGGACCCCCTTTGAAGGAACCCTGAAGCCCCCACAGCTTGAGGCTTCGGCTTGTAAAGAAAGAGCCGACTCCAGACCGCCAGGTTGTACACCTGGCCGGGCAAGCCTCTGAACGAAAAAGGACACTACCTGGGTGGTTCTCAAAATTCGGGTCCCTTTGTGGATCCTTATTATCATACGGCACCTAATATTTAGTGTACCCAACAAGGGACCATAATTTTGACAACCATCCACCTAGAGGCTCATACCCTACCCCCTTTTTCTGGATAGCTAGTTTGGTTAGGATCTGTCATATAGAAAAGTAGCTACCCTAGAAAGGGGGTAAGGTATGAGCCTACAGGTACTCAACTGGACCCAAGAGTAACCTAGGATTAAGCAGGGTGCCCTTTTCGGGTTAAAAGCGGGTTCTAAGGGAACCTAAACCCTAAAAGAAGGGAATAAGGGCCTACTCTCGGTCCTAGAGAACCCTACTCAAGCACTCTAATGCCTAAGCATCACATGGGAGTTTCCAAAAACAGGGAACCCTAAAAGGACCTGTTTAGCGATGTGTATAAACGCCCCGGCGTCTCTGAAGCTCGCACGCCGGCTTGGCCTCTGGAAATTGATCTTCCAGGCCTGTAACATGGCGAGTGGTGAAAGTGTGCGTATAGGATTTGGGGGAGGCTTTTGGGTTGAAACACTTAGACCCTACTATACTGAACTTGGAACCCTGGCAAAAATTATAGTTTTAGCCGTTTCTTAGGGATTATAATAGCCAAAAATTTAAAAAAAATCTAAGTACCCCTAAGCCTGCACCCCAAGGGTCGACAATAAACGCTGACCCCTAAGCCCCTAAACCCTATACACCCTAGGACACCCAGTAACCTAAGAACAAAAAGGCCTCTCTTTTTGGTATTGGGTAACTTTATAAGGAACCTAGGACTACAAAAAGGGAATAAGGGTACTACTGGGCATCCTAGAAATCCTAAACCCTACGCCCTAAATACCCTATAAATCCTAAACCCTAAACACCCTATGAACCCTATAAACCTACTTACTAAGTCCCCTGGGCCTCTAAGTATACATCCGAATCTCAAAAGGTCACAACACCCACTCTTGGCCCAGCATCTTCAGGCTGCCACAGTCCCAAAGTACTCTGAGAACTACAACATCAGCTCTTACCCCTGAGCTCGCAAGCCAAAACCACTAAGACCCTGAAATCTGCAAAGCCGTAAACCCCAAAAACCTTTACAGAACCCGAAACCAACATCCTGCAAGCTCCAGCGGAGTCAGCTTCAAACTTTGAGGACAACATCTGCTCTCAAGCTCTCCTGCCTACGTTGAGGGCTTGCAGACTTTATAGATTTAAATCTAAGCTCTACGGTTTAGGGTTTTTCCGCCGAGGCACGGTCTGTACCGCAGACCACAGGTGCCGTGAAGTAGTCCCGGGAAAAGGCAAGGTGGTCCTACCAAGCAGAACCAAGGGGTTCAGGGTTTAGGGGCGGCCCAGCTTTCCCTTATTATGGGTTTAGGGTCTCTGTAATAAGGGACCCTATAAGGGATCCTATAACAAGATCTATAAGGGGGTTGAGGGTTTCGTTCGAAATGATATACTACACTGTAAGATGCCATAATACACGATGTTGTCCTATTATACCAAAATACTAACATGTGGTATAGCATGTCAGGAACATCCCTCGAATCACAAACAAAGGCTCCTTGCTACGACGTCAGATCTATTCCATCACTGGACTTTGAGCCCCAAAGTAGTTCCTTTTGGGGGTTCATATAAAGAACCCTATAAGGTAATCCCAAAAAGGAACTACTTTGGGGCCTCTGGAAAAATATATACTGTCATTTCAAACTGGTTCCTTGAAGGGAAAGGTCCAACAAGAATGGTGCTCCACAGCCCCCCGCCCACCGGTTTAGAGGTTTAGGGGGTTTGTTTAGGGGCTTAGACACGGTTTAGGGTAAAGGGTTTAGGGTAGAGTTTAGGGGCTTAGACCCAAAGCCTTTTCCGTCTCTTGCGGCATGCAAAACCTGACGATCGGGAATCGGAACTGCACGGCAGCTGCCCAGAGACTCCAATATCCCTTAATCAAGGAATAGTAGGATCCCTAATATTATTTCAAGGCTATTCAATTAAGGGATGTTGGAGTCTCTGGGTGCATCGAAAACGCCATTCTGGCCAAAAAGGCGGAGCACGGACCCAAAAAACGTGGGTACTTCATGCCAGCTCCCGTAACACAGGGGCCTCAATGCTCCTTTAAAGGGGTCTATAGAGGCTCCTCTAATGGATCTATAAGGATACTGTAATATGGGGGCCTTAACCCCAAGGGTCCAAAAGACCCAATAGTTTAGTGCTCGGGTTTAGGATAGTAGTTATGTAGGCTAGGGTTTGGGAGAGTATATGATTATTGGCTAATTGGACCCTTGGGGTAACAACTAGAGTAGGGTTGGGGGTTATTATAAGGACCCGGACATAGCATAGGCAATTAATTGTTAAGGCCCCTATGGCAGCTACTTCCATGAAAAGTGGACGTAACATTTCGCATAAGTGAAACACTCCTCGTTCAACTCATGGCATCCTTCCTGGCAGCCCTTCTTGTAGCCCATCTATGTAGTGACACCAAAGTGCCCCTTACGCTAGACTGAACGACCCCCAGCATGCACCCCGTTGGAGGACGCGCCGGCGAGATATCTCCGCTCTCTTACGGCGGGAACTCTGCCGACATGAAGAGGGGTTTAGGCTTTAGGGTTTAGGGTTTAAGGCTGAGGGTTACCTCATGAGTCCAGCACATTACATGGCTGCACTCGGAGTTTCGCCTCATCGTTCACAAAATCGCGGACGTAGATCCAAACCTTTGAAGACTTTTTCGATGGCTCCTGGCCGTGACATGGTGCTAAGTTCACGGTGTTGGCCGCCAGGAACTTGTTTTGGTCGTCCAACCTTCGGAGCATCCTGGGTTCTTGATAAGAAACGTACTGAAAGATATACCCATAACAACGACCTGTAGTAGATAACACGGCTCCTTACGATGGAAATTAGATCAATTTATCCCAGCATCACAGACGGCAGCTCATATTTCTCTGGAGAACCAACCTGGCACTGTTCTTGCGCAAACCTTGCCACGCGCCTACGGATGCTGAGCCAATCCGATGGTCTGAGTATGGTCTGCAAGCATGGCATGCACGAGTGAATGTCGTTGGGCAGGTTCTTGTCTCGCTTGAACTTGGCGTGCACTTGCAGCACATCCTGATGGTCCGTGCTGGCATCCACGAGCATCGTAAGTTCGCGCAGTTCGGGAATAGGATGTACTCTGCACAGCATCGAACTGCCCAGACTGTGTTTTGAGTGGCCACCCTCCGACTCTGCCGCAGTGGACATGCGATCCTGAATATCCTCCGGACTTTGAAGTAACCACGGGGAAACAGGGTACAGACTTCTACTTCATAATTGGTTCCCTTTAAGTACCAGGTCCCAAAAAAGTATTACCTATAGTATCCATTGTAGTTTTCCTTTTTTGGCTTAACCAATTTTACATTAAGGATCCTAAAAGGTAACCCCAAAAAGGAACTGCAATGGAGACTATACCCTAAACCAAACCCCAAAAAACCCCTTCAAAGGAACCTTAGACCCCTTTAAAGGAACCCTAAACCCCTTTAAAGTATGGTACTCCAAGCTCCAGTCCTGCGCTTCGGAGTACACCGAGAGGGCCTCTGGAATCGCCCCGAGAGTGGCATCCGGATGTATCCGCGTATCCTTTCTTCCCCAACGAGCCACAGAACGAAAAGGCTAGCCCTTCAGACTAAGACGACGACGACTACTACTACGACGTCTACTACTACTACTACTACTACTGCTACTACTACTACTACTACTACTGCTACAGCTACTGCTACTGCTACTGCTACTGCTACTGCTACTAGTAGTAGTAGTAGTAGTAGTAGTAGTAGTAGTAGTAGTAGTAGTAGTAGTAGTAGTGGTAGTAGTGGTAGTAGTAGCAGTAGCAGTAGCAGTAGCAGTAGCAGTAGCAGTAGTAGTAGTAGTAGTAGTAGTAGTAGTAGTAGTAGTAGTCGTAGTAGTAGTAGTAGTAGTAGTCGTAGTTGGTAGTAGTAGTAGTACTACTACTACTACCACTACTACTACGACTACGACTACGACTACTACGACTACTACTACTACTACTACTACTACTACTACTACTACTACTACTACGCTTAGTAAACCATAAGAGCACGAAAAGCTGAAAGCTTGGGACTTGGAGATCTGAGGGTCTGGATCTTCCGTAAACGCCAGAAGATGAAGGGGCCCTGCAGCATCTAAGAAGCGTGGCACGGGAACATGGAAAATGTCCACACCAACCCGCGAGTACGCGCTCGGCAGCGAGACGCGCAAGCACGGGGGGATGCTGCAACTTCTCTCCTTCTCCTCCTTCTCGGGGGGACTCTGGCTTGCACCTTACTTGGGGGGTCGGGGGACTTAGTAAGTAGTTAGTAAGTAGACTTATAAGTACCCTAAAAGGGACCCTAATTGGGGTTATGATACTTATAAGTCCCTAAAATAACCAGTTACTAAGTCCCCCGACCCTCCAAGTACTCCCCCAACAAGCCACAGAAACAAAAAGTTAAGCTTTCCGATTCCTACTAAGCCATAAGAACCCAAGAAGTTTGAAGGCTGGGTATTGGGGATCTTAGGCACTGCAGGACTTCCGGACGAATTTCTCGAACTCCGTTTTTCCGTCTTGGTCGAGAAGGTCGGTAAACTTCACGCCTTCAAGATCGGTGGGCGTCGCCAGGACTCGTCTCAAGCGAGTGTTATCCCCGACGATGTTGAAACCATCATCCAGCAACACGTCCGCATCGCAAACACTTCGCAAGACTCGCTGGAAACCTTCCAAAGAGAGATTAGCATTGGCCGACTGCAGTGAAGCTCTGACGCTCGCTCGCGCCCTCTCCTGGACCAGAATTGCGACTCCGCATGCCAAGAACAGAATCGCAGCTTGAGCACAAAGGAAGTGAGAGGGAGGACCGCGGCGTACCCCCTCGAGGCTGAAGTAGCATGAAACTTCCACCACAAAAACTAAAGCCTGACATGGGATCAACACCGGCGGGTCGTGAACGATGGCACCCGCAAAGACGCGGGCGGCCGCCGAGTAACTCGAGTGGAAATTGTAATATGCTTCGTCTGCATTTAAGTAGATGTTGATGACGTAGAAGGCGTGGGCAACATGTGTAAGGAGACAGATCAGCCGAAGTGTGTTGAAGGTGACATGGGATCTCGCTATCCAGGACGTGGATAGATACTGCAGGAAGACCACCAAAAACTCGACTACCTTGGAAAGTTCCGGCTGCTGCTGCACACGGTACGCGTGAATCATTGTTACGACGACAGCGAAGTGCGATACGTATCGTACAACTTGCTGGTAATGTTCCATCATCATCTTCCCCATAGCATCTTCCATAAGCTGTTCGTGCAACTCCGGCTTCTTCGGCCTCTCCATCCTTTTCTGCATCCAGCTCAAGAACGCTGTCGACAAGCCCTCCAAATCCAAGTCTGCCAAAGTGGCATGGACAGACAGGAAAACTATGCCGCAGGCCACCGTTGCCGGAGACGGAAGCATCGCAGAGAACTCTGCGAACATGCCTCAGGAGGCCGGAGCCGGGGGTCTACCTTCGAGCACGGAATCTTGCGTGCAAGTCAGAATTTCGGCGTGGCATGTGGAGCCCGCATGCCTTGGAAGCGCTTTTGAGCTTGATACACACGCACAGGTACATCCACACCTGCATGCATGAGTGCATGCATGCAGACCGACATACATACAACGGACAAGCAAATAAACACACACACACACACACTCTCGAAGACCAACACACATATGCATATACATATAGACATATACATATCAACGTACATTTACGTATACATCTGCATCTGAAAATACGTACGTCTACTTGTACATATGCACATACACACACGTACACATACACATACATATATACATATGCATACACATATGCATATAGCTACATATACATCTCACTACATAGGCATATGCATATACACACGCGTGAACATCGTGAACATATACAAACAGATACACATATCCATGAACCTTACATATACATATACATATATACATTTACCTTTACCGATACATATGTATATGTATATACACTCTACACCTACACATACGTATACACATACACGTACACATACAAACACACAGACAAAGCAACATACGCATCCACATTCAAAAACGTGCGTACATTCATGCATGCATGCATGAGCACATGCATACATACCACACTATACAACCCGACATATCCCTACGGTTGATGAGATAAATCCTGCATTACCCACAATTTGGAATGTACCATAGTTCCCATCGTGTAGGGTCCTGAAGGTAATGCAGGGTTTAGGGTTTAGGGTTTTGGTTTAGGGTTTAGGGTTTATACCACCGTCAACAGTAGTACCAGAGGTCCAGGGCCTTCTCCGAGAAGCCGTTTCCTTGCACCGTCAGCGTGCAGGGCAGGCCGTTGGTGCAGTAGAATTGCTGGCACGTGAGATCAGGCGAAGAAGGGGGCGAGGGGTATAAGGGTTCTAAAAATGGTTCGTCTACGGGTCGTACATAAGTCTTTTGATGGAGTTGTATAAGGCTTCTAGCAGGCTTCCATTACTAAGGGTCTACAGGTCTTCTATAAGGGGTTTTAAAGTTATATAGGGACTGGTGGCAAGAAGGGTCTCGTATGGGTTGCGGGTTTAGCGACCAGCGAACCCCTCAAGCCTACCCAGCAGTAGTTCATGAGCCCATAATTGTGGGGTTTGGGTTTAAGGGTTTAACCGCTAACACAGTAGGACACTGTGTCCACCAGCACACATAGGCGAAGGGTCTGTAAAGGTTCCCCAAACCGTAAACGCTAAACCCTAAGCCCTAAACCCTAAACCCTAAGCCATTGGCCGCCCGCGCCCGGCGGCGGCCGGTACCACTGAACGCTACCGCTTCGAGATCTGCTTGCTTGGCCAAGCAGATCGAGTCTACCAGACCTGATTTGGCACTGCTAGCCATGGGGCACAATAGTAAAATTGGGTACCCTTATCTCCCAGCGCGAGAACCCTGGCGGGGACGGGACCTGGTAGAAAGAGCTTGACGAGCGATCCTGGCGGGTATGGCGGGCGACTCTGGCGGGGACGGCTGACGACCCTGGCGGGGACTTGGTGGACGGACGACTTTGGCGGGCGACCCTGGCGGGGACGGCGGGCAACCCTGGCGGGGACGGCGGACGACTCTGCTGTGACAACAACTAAAAAAGCCAAAAACAGCTTGGCAGACGACTCTGGAGGGGGACGGCGGACGACCCTGGCGGGGACGGCGGGCGACCCTGGCGTGGACGGCGGACGACTCTGGCGGGGACTTGGCGACTCTGACAGGGACTGAAAAAGGCCAAAAACAGCTTGGCAGACGACTCTGCAGAGGATGGCGCCTTATCTCCCAGCGCGAGAACCCTGGCGGGGACGGGACCTGGTAGAAAGAGCTTGACGAGCGACCCTGGCGGGGATGCCTGGCGGGGACTTGGTGGACGGACGACTTTGGCGGGACAGGCACGAAAAGGCCAAAAATAGTTTGGCAGACGGACGACCCTGGCGGGGACGGCGGGCAACCCTAACGGGGACGGCGGACACTCTGGCGGGCACTTGGCTTTGACAGCAACTAAAAAGGCCAAAAACAGCTTGGCAGACGATTCTGGAGGACGGCGGACGACCCTGACGCGGACGGCGGGCGATCGTGGCGGGGACGGCGGACGACCCTGGCAAGGACGGCGTAAGGACCTTGGCGGGGACGGCGACCCTGACCAAGCGACCCTGGCGGGGACAGCGGGGTGACCCTGGGGACCCAGTTCCTCCAAAAAGAGCTTTGCGGACAACCTGCGGGGCCCGTTCGTCGTCCTTCTCTTTGAAGTAAAGCCGCAAAACAAGCTTTTTCTGGTGTGGACGGTTCGTCGTCCTTCCCTCTGAGGAACAGGCCAGGCATCAAGCAGCAAATGAAAACCAGCCGTTCCCCATGTAGACGTTCGATTTGGCAAGCACCCTCTCCAGAAACACATCAGGGGCATCGCAGCAATCAGCCCATGAAAACCAGCCGTTGCCCATGTAGACGCTCGATTTTGCAAGCACCCGCTCCAGAAACACATCAGTGGCATCGCAGCGGACAGCACATCAAAACCAGCCATTCCCTATGTAGACGCTGGCTTTAGCAAGCGCCCGCTCCAGAAATACATCAGCGACATCGAATCAAACAGCAAACAAAAACCAGCCGTTCCCCATGTAGACGCTCGATTTTGCAAGCACGCAGCAAGCACCAAGTAACACAGAGAGAACGAATCTGCAAGTAAATTGCTGTAAATTCAGCTTCAGCACTCAATATTCCCGAATCAACATAATCACGTATCCCCAAGTAGACGCCCGGTGATGCGACCCCCCCAGGTGCTTCCCCGCAAGGTGGGCTGGGATCCAACAAGCATGATGCGACTTAGCTCCGTCACTGTACAGGGTGTGTCACAGTGCCGTGGCCAGGCGGAAATGTCCGTTTCACGTCTCTGGCGGCTGACGACTATAGTTTGACGGGGACGGGACGTCCTAGAAAGAGCTTGGGGACAGTGGCCGACTCTGGCAAGGAGCTTGGAGTGCGAGTCTGGCGGCAAAGCTGGACAATTCTGGCACGGACTGCCGGGCGAAAAAACCCTGGCGGCCGACTGGATGATCAGCACTCTTGGCCGGACTGGCACGGACAGCGGACGGCTGCAGACCACTTCTGGAGGCCTGGCACTGGGCCCTGACGGACGACTCTGACGACGGCTGACGGACGACTCTGGCGGCCGGCGAGGACGAGCGAGGGCGTCGCTGCTATTTTGTGACTACATCACTCGGATGTCCCTTTGACGTTCCGCAACATTGCAACGTCTTTTCGGCTAGTGCAGCACTAAGAAGCAGAACACAAAACCCGTTCTAGTCGTGCTTCGGGTGGTTGTGGGTGGGTTCCACGTTACGAAGACGGCGCGACCCACGACCACTCCATGGGTGGGGCGCGTCGTGGCACTGTGACACACCCTGAACCCTAAACCCTAAGCCCTAAGCCCTAAAGCCTAAGCCCTAAACCCTAAACCCTAAACCATATCTATGAGGTCTATAAATGGTTTCTAAGTGTGGCCGATCGGTCGCGCGGGCTCTACTATACAGGGGCCTTAATAACAAGAAAAGCGGTTTGGGGGTGTACCTATAGTCTCCATTGTAATTCCGCTTTGGGGCTACCTTTTAGGATAAAACTGGTTGAACCAAAAACAGGAACTACAATGGAGACTATAGGTACTTGAATAAAACTGTAGTAAGGAACCCCATAATAGTATAGGTAATCATGTAAGCCCCTGCGACCCTGCATTACTGCTCTGAGGCTTTAGGGCTCTAAGGTGACCAAGGTGTAATGTTTCAGGCTTGCGGGCTTAGGGTTTTCGGGAGAGATTAAAACTGAGGGTTCCAAGTTGCTGCTTCTAGAAGGATGCAACAGCTCGGGTACAGCAGCGGTTGTTGACAAGCTTCGGACGCTCAGCCGACAGACATCAACATGAGCCACAAGCCTAAACTTGCGGCCCCAAACACTTCATTGCCTTTGAATAGACCTTCTGCCTTGTCGAACTCTCACAAACCCATATCAACCCTCATAAAGGCCACTTTTCTGAAGTAGTCCATCACCATGGATGACACCGAGACCAGCTCTTCCCAAAAGAGGATTTGGCAAACAGGAAGCTGAGTGAGCTTGTTGTGGGGGGAGCGGTTTGCTGCTTTTCCTCGGTGCGGCTTGGCTTATATGTAGAAACACATTCCAGCAACGTGAATCATACCTGAAAAGGGGCACGCAAGCCCCATTCAGCAAGAAACGCGCAGAAACCCCCACCTGCACTTGCGGCTGAGGGCCCAATGACCCAAAAATCACACGAAGGCGATTATTGCCACGATCCTCCGCTCGCAGAAAGTCTTGGAAGCCAGTCCCTAGTATTAGGGCCTTAATAATTAGAAATATGGCTGTGGCGCCCATGATACTCTAACTATAATAAAGAACCCCCCAAAACAGTATAGGTAATTATTAAGGCCCCTACATTACAGGGTTTGCCCTAAGGCTCTAGGGTGGGCCTAAAGACCATATTAGATAAGGCTTTTAAGCCATTTTGAGCCCTAGGTTTACTATACTGAACTTAGAACCCTAGCAAAAACTATAACTTTAGCTGTTTCTTAGGGATTATAACAACCAAAAATTTACGAATTATTTCTAAGTACCCCTAAGTTTAGGGTTTAGGGAAGGCGAGCTTGCAGCTGGCTCAGCAACATCCGTCCTAGGGTCCAAGGGTCTTGCAAAATGTGAACTTTGCATTGTTGTAAACTGTGGAAAATGGTAAAAAGACAAATGACTCTATATGTAGGTATATATATATATATATATATATACATTTGTCTTTATATATATATATAGAGATATGTATATTCATGTACACAAGGTGCTATATAGGGAGGAAAGCGCTGCCCTCTTTCTGGTAAAATACTCACAGCACCAGCAACCGGACTCTTGGTCAGGAGCTTAGAGTTTCGGGTCGT